GTCCAGAGCCTGTGCTCCGCAACGGGAGAGGCCGCGGCAGTGAGAGGCCCGCGTACCACAAAAAAAAAAAAAAAAAAAAAAAAAAAATCTCTGGTTTGGTGTTACATGTAGCTAACTAAGCTCTGGCCTCCCCTTTGTCCACTACCACTTCTGTGAAGGCAAAGAGCCTCCGCCGTGGGGACAGGCTGGCATTTATGGGGAGAAGCCTGTCCCCTTGTTATTGTCCTCGGCTGTAGTCTCTGGAACATTCCATGGCAGCACGGGGGAGAAATGATACCTGAATAGTTTTTACATGAGCTCTTTAGAAAAACGTTTTACAAACAGGTATATTGGAGCAGTGGGTGTCGTTAATGCTACATCGGGGGCAAGTCTGAGCACGAGATGCACCCTGACTCTCTGTCAGGGGAGCCTCTGGGCTTCGGGTCTGTAGCTGGATGCTCAGCTGCCCACAGAGGCTTGCTTGGGGCGGGGGGGAGAGGCGGATGGGAACAGTGCGGGGTGGGCGGCGACGCTAATGCATGGCCTGCGGTTGCTCTGTGAGCAGAGTCCGGGCAGGGCACCGCCTGAGGGCTGCCAAGCGAGGGGCCGAGAGCAGGACGGGGCAGCGGGTGCTCTGCAGGTCGTTTCCTGGCCCCTCCCACCTCCCACACTAAGGGCACTGAGCCTCTTCCCCGGCTCAGAAGTGGAGACTCCAGTGCCACCCTTCCAAGGCAGGCACGAGGACCCTGTGTCCTGGGCACAGAGTCACGATGGCAGCCCGAGCCTCACCCACCAGGAGCCCCTAGACCAGGGGGAAGGCGGCCATACAGACCAGAACAGACGAGAGGCTTTCTGAACACTTGACCTTGAGGCTTGACCACTGAGTGGGGCTTTATCAAGGGCGGAAGGACATGCCAGGTGGAGGGACCAACAGAAGGGTCTGGCCTGTGGGGTGTGAGCGGGAGTGTTTGGGAGCTGCGGGACTCTCATCGTGGCTGGATGCCAGGTGATGCTGGTGACTCCACGGGGGGCAAGGCCGGCCCGCAGGCAGCTGGCCACACAAGACAGACACACTGTGTCTTCAAAGCAGTGGGGCTAGGGGAGACTTTGAAACACACAGACTGATGCACCATGAATCGCTTCCTTGACTGAGCTTTTAATACTTAGCCAATATGTGCAAAGCCCAGAAAATCAATGCCCTTCTTTGAGGCTAAGACCTCCTGGGTAGGAGGAGGGTGTTTGTTGTTTTGTTTTGTTTTTGCGGTAGTCATCACAGAAAATTCCAAACATGCGGAAGGATGTGTGTGTCTGTCACCCAGCTCCAACAGCTGCCAACTTGGACGTGAGTTTTCAGGCACAAGCACCGCAGTTAGACGTGCATTTTAGGACGCTAACCCGTGGCACCTAGGGGTCCCCACAGGAGGGGCTGGGCTGGAGATGGGAGAAGGGGCCAGGCTTGCAGCCTTGCCAGGTGAGCGATGTGAGGACCCAAACCAAGGCAAAGGGTGAGAGAGACGGGAGAGTCAGGAGAGGTTCCGAAGTAGAACCGATAGGATTTGGTGGCCAACGGAGCGTGAGAGGGAAGGGGGAGGTTTAAGGTGACCTCACTAGCTGTGGGTGATTACTGGGGAAGGGAAGGGCAGAAGTCCAATCACAGTCTTTGAAACCCTGTGGGACCTCATTTTGGGACCTTGGTCACCAGGCTTCAGCCCCCTTGGCCCTTTCCCGGTTCCTTGACTGCCCTGAGCCATTTTACCCCAGGGCCTTTGCACACACTGCTCCCCCATCTCGGGGTTACTTTGGTCCTCACAGGTCACATCCACAACCTCCCGCTCATCCTTTCAGCCTCGGCTCAGATGACACTTCCATCCTTTCTCTCCCTCTCGTGTTTTTTCTTATCCACTGACCACAACGTGCAATGAATGCTTCTGCTGATGTGATCACTTGCATATTTCTTTTCCATTTGCCTCCACAGAATGTGAGCACCGTGCAGGCCCGTCGATGAGCACACAGGGATGATGAGAGACTCTGGGTGGGGACGTCGGCAGGCAGGGAGCCGGGGAGGGTCTTGGGGTGGAAGCCGGGCACACTCAGTCACAGGAAACCGGACCAGCCTGGGTCTGTGTGGTTCAAAGCCCCCGTGTGCTGTGGGAAGGATGTATGAAAGACTCACAGCTGGTTCAGCAATTCATCGTGGACACAGAGAGCTTCCTGAGAGGCTACCATAGAGGCTTAGGTTTTAAATACGTGCTTTTAACTAAAGTCAAGTCCACTGGTACAGTCTTGTGTTTGTCATTCAACACGTGTGTGTGTGAGTGAGTGTGTGTGTGTGTGTGTGTGTGTGTGTGTGTGTGTGGTGTGTGTGTGATGAATGTACTAAGAAATTCATGGGGGGTAAAACACCTGAGAGGTGCAGCGGGTCAAAGGGGCCCATCGGGTGGAAAAGACCGTGTGCGGACATTGACAGCGCCAGAAGGAGCCCTGTCAACTTCCCAACTGGCAGCATGATAGGGGGTCCGATGGTGTGCGAACCCAGGGAACGCCTGGGCTCGGGAAAAGACACGCGCTGTCTGATCTGCTTGTGACAGTCATTTCAGAGATGCTCTGGGGAAGTTCCCTCTCTGCAGAAAACTGCCAGAGCTACCAGCTTACAGGGCAGCTGGCCCGGCTCCTCTCCAGAGCCTGGGAGGCCTGCCCCCACCTGCCTCCGACTTGTGTCTCCCTGGGGGCCCTCAGCACTGGGCCTGGGTGGCCTCTTTCTGTCCGTGGCTCTGCCTCACCCCTGCTCGTAGTTCATTTGGCCTAGAATGTCTTCTGCCTCCAAAACTTCCAAATCCAAGCCTTCCCTTAAGACCTGGCACACGTGCCACCTCTTCCAGGAAGCCTGCCCTGATTGCCCTGCCCTCATGGGCTCCCACTTCCTTCTGAGCCCACAGGTTGTTTCTCACTCTTTGTCTGTCACAGGCTGTCTCACCTTGTCTGTGGTTGTTTCTCTTGCATTTGTTTTGTGTCCCCAACACGAAACGCTTTGAAGGAAGGTAACACTTCTTCCACATCAAGCACAGACCCTCAAAAATGCGAGTGGGTTGATTCGGTGACTGATGGATAAGGTTAGTGGGTAATTGTGCTATTATACACCAGGATTTTTTAAAAAAATTTTATTGGAGTATAGCTGATTTACAATGTTGTGTTAGTTTCAGGTGTACAGCACAGTGATTCAGTTGTATATATATACATATATTAATTCTTTTTCAGATTTTTTTCCCCGTATACATTATTACGGAGTACTGAATATAGCTCCCTGTGCTATACAGTTGTTGTATAACCTTGTTGGTTATGTATTTTATACATAGTAGTGTGTAAATGTTAATGCCAAGCTCCTAATTTATCCCCACCCACCCATTTCCCCTTTGGTAACCGTAAGTTTGCACCAAGCTTAAAAAAAAAAAAAAAAAAAAAAAAAAAAAAAAAACA